TTTTCCTGGGAATAAGTCAACCTTTCTGGAGTGTTGGGGAATCATGATTTTGAGAATTTTAAATACTGAAGGGGCTAGCCTCACTGCAAAATTTGATGAACACATTTGAGAATTAAATATAATGAGTTGGGGCTGAAACCATAAACCTCCTGGATCTCAAGACTGAAGCAGGTAAAAGCAGATGAGAGTTGGCTCTAGCTGAAACAGAGCATAGGGTGCTCATATGAGTCTAGAGCAGGAGTCAGACTCACCACTTTGAAACTACTAAAGAATTCATCAATCGAAACATTGTACCGAGTGATTTGTATAAAATTCAGTACAGCGGGACAACAGGAAAAGATAGGAAAAGAAAAAGTGATAAAGACATATGCTAGGTACATTTGACAACTCTATTATAGGTCCCCTTGAAATTTAGAAGAGGGAAACAGGATAAATATTGAAATGAATAATAATTGGGAATTCTTCACAATTGAAGATTTGGAGAGATATTTGCAATGGATATATCAAACAAAGATTAACACCCCAACTATTTAAAAAATGACAAATCAATAAGGAAAAGTTAAATAAGGAAAAGGAATCAAAGGAAATGAACAATTTATAAACAGGAAAAGATGTTCCATTTCAACAAATTTAGGAAATACATATTTAAATCATAAGAAGATGTCACTTGATATTTATTAGATTAAAAACACTGAAAATATGATCTTGGTGAGGATATGGAGCAGGAAAACATTTATATACTGCTGGTTATAGCATAAATGGAGAAGGTACACATGTATTATGACTCAGCAAACCCACTGGGTGGTCTGAGAAACTCAGACAAGCACACATACAAGGAGATACACTGCATTTTTGCAACGCGGAAAAGTTCACACAACTTAAACACTCAATAGGTAGATAAATACATTGTGACGATATATTTGTACACTGAGATCCATATCAATCAAAATGAACAAACTGTAACCATACATACCTACATATAAAATTTAAAAAATGACAGGAAATAAATTTAGAATATATGTAAATCTGTTAGATTAGTTACATCTAATTAGATGTGGTGTAATCCAATGACAAGAGAAAAAAAAGTATGATTTTACTTTATCCACATTGTGTTATTTTTTAAAGAAAGACTTGATACAAATATGACAGAAGCCGACAATTTATTAAATGCAAATGTTTATTGTAGTGTTCTCTGTATTTTCTTCTTTAAAAACTTTATAATTTAAAAATTTTTAAAGAATTCAATCAATATTATTCTGGAGATAAAATCTCAAATTTTATGCAATTATTGGTTAATTAATTTTAAGCCATTTTGGTACCTCATAAAGTCCAAAGAGTGATGTTAGATAGGTAATATATTTAATAATAACAGAAATGCTCATTTTAATATATATACACATTAACAGCAAAATTATGGAAATATATTTTTAAAAAACTATTTCAATTTTTCAAAGTGTTTGCATACAGTAAGCTTTTAAGTATTCAGTTCTCTAGGTAATTGATATACAGTTGGGCCACCTTTTTTTGTCACACTTGTTTCTGTTCTCTTACCATTTCTACATAAAAAATAGTGTGAGGGGCACCTGGGTGGCTCAGACAGTTAAGCATCTGACTCTTGATTTAGGCTCAGGTCATGATCTCAGGGTCGTGAGATCACACCCCACATCAGGCTTCATGCTCAGAGTCTGAGATTCTCTCTCCCTCTCCCTCTGCCCCTCCTCAGCATGCGCTCTCTCTCAAATAAATAAATCTTTTTTAAAAAATAAAAACAAAACTAGTGTGGAAGGGCTTTTTTATTAAAAAGTGACTCTGAAGACTTTTGGCTTAATTTTCCAAAAATTTAAGTGGAAAAAGTCCTTCCCGGTTGGTTTTTTATTTAGAATATCCACTAAAAAGACACTAGCCACTGTTTTCATAGAACACGCCTAGCCTTGAAGATGAAGTGAACAGACTCACTTGATTCCCCTAATCACTCTGCTTTAAATTTCATCCTGAAGAACTCTGTGTACTCTAAGTGTTAAGAACTAATGATTGCCCCGAAACTGCCAATCAGCCTGAGTGACTGACGAGTTTTTTGGAACTTGTGTGATGAGAGCATCACATTAAATATTTGTTGAATAAAGAATGAAAATCAGAGGAAAGAGATCTTTTCCTTAGGAATTAGGTTATATCGTTTCTCTGGGTTCTTGATCTAACTATATCTGCAATTGTTTAAATTTCCCTTTTATTTTTTTTAAAGACTGTTATTTATTTATTGGAGAGAGAGAAAGTGAGAGACAGAGCAGGAGAGGGGGAGGGACAGAGGGAGAAGCAGATCCCCCACTGAGCAGGGAGCCCAACAGGGGGCTTGATCCCAGGACCCTGGGATCATGACCTGAGCCGAAGGCAGGCACTTAACTGACTGAGCCACCCAGGCGCCCCTAAATTTCCCTTTTAAAACATATGAGCCAAATCACAGAAAAGGGAGAAGCATACTTGACTGAAAATCAGGGCTCATGACATCAATTCTGCTACTAACAGAGCTGTACGACCTTGACAGATTCTATAACTTTCCAGGCCTCAACACCTTCATCTTTAAATTGTGAATGCATAACCAGATAATTTCTCATGTTTCACTTGCTTTCATGGTTCTTAACAGGAGGGTTGGAGCAATTTTTTTTTTTTTAAGAGATTTTCTTGAATCTGCTGGGTTTTGATTGCTTTTTTTTTTATAAAGATTTTATTTATTTGAGAGAGCAAGAATGAGAGAGAGAGAGAGAGAGCACATGAGAGGGGGTAGGGTCAGAGGGAGAAGGAGACTCCCCGCCGAGCAGGGAGCCTGATGCGGGACTCGATCCCGGGACTCCAGGATCATGACCTGAGCCGAAGGCAGTCGCCCAACAGACTGAGCCACCCAGGCGCCCAGGGTTGGAGCAATTTTGAATAAATGAGACATAAAAGACTTTTCTATCCAACTAATGGGCCAAGCTAGACATTTTGTCTTTGACAAGTCTTTCCCTTCATGTGTATTATCGACTATTTAGCACTGTCCCCAGCAAATATCAGTCATAAATGAAAATCATAGTCTATTTTCCCAGAAGTTTATCATTTTCCCTCTTCATCATTCTTATTTTTCTTGTCTTAATTCAGGCCATTGGCATCTTTTCCATGAACTACTGCATTTTCTCCTATTCCATCATGCTTTTCATTTCTCTATACCCTTTTTTACCTCCTACATTTCCAGGGTATCCTTCCTCAAGCCCTGATCTCAAGGGTTAGAGTCTAACATAACGAGGAAGTCCAATATCCTCCTCAATCTGGTTTTCTTATTTTTCAAGTTTAATCTTTTGCCAATTTCTCTCTTCCTTCATATCCTTAGATATCCACCCTCACTTCCTCCAGGCAAGGCAAACAAGTCAATGTCATTTAAATCCATCAGGCGTCCCCCCATCTTGTGCTTTCAGCCATGCTGTCCTCCTGCTCTGTATGTCTGCTTCCCTTCTCCTTCAGGTGAAATCTATTACGTTCCTGTTCAAACATCACTTTTTTTTTTAAAAGATTTTATTTACTTATTTGAGAGAAAGCGAGCAAGCACGAGCAAGGAGCAGAGCCAGAGGGAGAAGCAGGCTCCCCACGGAGCAGGGAGCCCATGCGGGGCTCCATCCCAGGACCCGGGATCATGACCTGAGCCGAAGGCAGATGCTTAACGACTGAATCACCCAGGCGCCCCTCAAACATCACTCCTATTGCAAGTTTCTCTGCATACACTGGGAGAAAACTTCTCCTTCCTGGAGCCCTCACATAGGACTTCTATACAACCGTATTTCAGAACCTGCATTGAATTATACTTCGTTGTTGCCCTCTCTACTTTCTCTGGTAGATCATATGCTAATTTATTTATCCATTCATCAGTTATTGAAGATCTGCTATTCATCAAGCACTTTGTTACAATGTAGGCAAGAGTTTGTAAGAATGGATTCCGGTTTTTAAGCAAGTGTATTGTCTATGCAGAGAGGCAATTTTTAGGTAAATTTTAATTTGCAAAATAGAATGTTAAGTGCTGTGGTAGGGTACGGTCCGCAGAGAATACTTTGGAAGAAAAGAGGAGAAAAATCTATGGCACAGGTGGGTAGGGATTATGTCCAGAGAATTTCCCTGGTTGGAGAATTAATTTATTAACTATCCAGAGTCTGACATATAATTAAAGCTCAATAAATGTTCTTAAATACACTTTGTTCCGAATGTATGAAGGCTTGTTTTCTCCAGTGTGTTTGATAAAGGCTGTAAGTAGTGAAGATATTTCAGAGATAGGAAGAAATTATGAATGACAGTACCAAGCATTTCCACCAAACCAGGTTTCCACAAGGAAAATGTTAGTTTTGCACACACTGAAGGCAGATATATTAACTACATATAACTCCACCAATAAAGACAAATAGTTGCCTCCAAAGGGGTCTCCCACCGAGCTACATGAACCCAATCAGACAATAATGAAGTGCAGGAGAAACAGCCCTCTGCACTCATTCCCATTCCAGGTGATGACAACTTAAGACTGGTGCAGCCTAGCCTCTTAAGGAGGCTCGACGCCCTCCTCCACGCCGCTCAAGAAGGAGACGGCGTGAGTTGTTGTATATTTGGCTCATTCTCCTGGAAAGAGCAGACGCAGTCTGTGGAATACTTTAGCTTATGAGAACGTTGGTGGTTCACTGCTTTCCTCCACTTGGAGCCTCACCTTACACTCTGCAGCAGCCCCACCCAATGCCTGGGCACCACGTCCTCCGCGCAGATTCCCCGTTGCCGGGTAACCAACCGCCAACACACACAGTCCCCGGGTCGGGAGCCGCCGCCGCCTCCCCGCCGGGCGCTCCAATGAGCGACCGGTGTGTCTGTCACGTGGCCCTCCGCGAGGGCCCAGGAGAGCCCGGGCGCTCGCTCCGGCGCTCGGAGCCGCCTCCCGGCCCCACGGAATCCGCGGTCCGGCCGCCCCGCCCTGGGAGCCCGAGTTACGCAGCGGGGGAGGCCGGGGAGCGCGCGGGCCGTGCTCGCGCCGCCGCCGCCGCCGCGCCCGCTTCAGCACCTTCCGCTGTCCGCTGGTGCGGTCGCCGCCTCCTCCAGGTAAGGAGCCCGCCGGGCGCAGGGGGAGAGCGGGCGGGCGCAGGCGTAATGAGTGGTCTTGGAAGCGGCGTGGCGGCGCGGGAGCGGGCGGGTCACCGCGTCCGTGGGCTCGCAGAGCCGCGCGATGCGCGCCCTCCCGGGCTTTGCGCGCGACATGCCCGACGCGTGAATCCCCGGAGTTTTAGGGTCACGCACCTGCTTATCGCGAGGCTCAACCGGCAGCCAACGTGTATGTATCTGACTGTCCCTGGAGTGTGGACTATTATTCTAATTTTTATGAGAGACGTGGTTCTAATTTTTAAGATTAAGTATGTGTATGTCCGGAGTCTGGATTGTATGCCCGCCAGGCACTTCTGTATAGATTTCCCACCCCTTTGAAGATGGTCTTCATAGGCAGGTTGTACCAAGAAGGCTTTGAGTGAAATGGAAGTGTGTTCCAGAAAAAAAAGACAGTATTGAATGTGAGAAGCATAGTATGTGGTAAATCATAAAAATACAATCTTTCCTGTTTTTCTATACACCCCCCCCCAGATTTTTGCATGCACATATTAAAAGGAGCAAAATTTAAGCTGACTTTTTAAAATTTACTATATTAAAAGCAATTGATTTGAGTGAAATTTAGTGATCACTTTGTGTACCAAAACTTCCCCACTTGTTTTTGTAACTTCTACTGATTGATTAATTGGAGTCTTTAATAAGGGTTAAAGAGAGAGATTACGTTTCTGAATCTTGCACTATTTCAGAAATACCCCTCAGAGGAACTCATTTTCCCCTACCAATTTTTATAACCAAAGTTACAAGCCCTTCTTGAATATTTTGAGTAACGTAACCTCAGGTAAGAAAAGGGTTTTCCTTTAGGTTTTCTCTACAGAGTAAATTCTTTGGGGGGACTTCTAAAATTCTTTTTAGGTATCCGTATCTCTCGTTCACAAATGCGTCTCCAGGAATGGTCTCATCAACAGTGAGAGAATAATCTCCATGTAATTATCACAGAACACAGCAGGTTTGGGATGTTCTCACTACCCTGCTTGAGGGCAGCTGATGCTGGACTTATGGTAATTACAACCACTATGGAAAAATGGACTTTTTTATGTCCCTTTGAGATTCTGTCTCACTGGCTTAAGAGTGCCAGAAAATGGGCATAGTTATGTCTTATCTGTGTGAAGGAAGAAATCTGAGACAAGTGGTCTGACAGTCTTTACTGTTCTATGATCTAAAATTAAAATAGGAATGAAGTGACTATGAAAAATTGTCAGTTAACTCAATTTTGGGAAACATACTTTAGTGGATTGTCTAGAGATTAATGTCACAAACACTAGTTTTAGGTCATTGCATTAAGAGTTCTTGAGAAGTCTTCTCTACTGGAATAAACCAGTGGTCTATTTCAAAGGTCATACATGGAAAGAAAAATCCTCTTTCATTCTTTCATTCATTCATTCATTTATTCATTCTTTCATTCTTTCTGAACAGCCCAAAATATAATGGGCGCTATATTTATTTTTTATATGCAACATAAAAACTCATATGATTTTCATAAGTGAGCTCCATAAACTTTATATTAAAATTGTTCAATGAATGTTATTACATTGATTTGATTTTTTTCTCCTGTGCTAATGTTTATAGAAACAGTAAAGAACCGTGGGTATCTCTGGGGAAAAAAAATCAAATATATTTACTCGAAAGTTTAAAAGTTCTTCATTTGTTATTACTACATATTGGTGTACTAAAATTTTTGTCACTCATTACATAATAATTCCATATATTAGAAAGCCACAAATTAATTTAGCTTAGGAAAAAAATGTTTTTAAATCCTCTGCTCCCAGTAGAGGGACTATGAGAGCTGGAATGTTTTTGTTGTTCTCTCTAGCCTCTATCTGTAGCCCTGAGCTTGGGCATAGAGTAGCCAGTCAGAGTGTTTAAATCACTCAGAGAGGATTAGCAACAGTTGTATTTTTCTTTGTTTTACTCTGACACTAGAAGTCCAACGTAAATGATTGGGTGATCACGATCAATAAAATTTGTTCAAATTCTCTAGATTACCTCATTTTTTTTTGCCTACCCTCTGAAATGAAGACTAAAATGAAATTCAGACAATTCTGAAGGATTCACATTTCCTTCCTATATTCCAGAATTTACTTGAAATCTGGTATATTCCAGAAAGGTAACAGTTTATCAGATTACTGAATAACCCGTTTACTCAGCCATTCGTGGTAATGATGTATATACAGGTTTTACTACTACTTCGTAGAATGGACGAATTATCTCCTTTTATATTTCATATATATATTCTACTTAGCAGTTTGAAAGATTAGAGTGAAGTCATACAGTTTTTAGTGTGTTTTCAGGAACAGAGTATTTTATTCAGAGTATTTTAATCCATAAGAATTATATTAGGAATTTGGGAGGGGTTTCTTTATTAACTCCGATGCCTTCTTTTCTTTTGTATCAGAAACATATTAAACTAAGAATTGGTTGGCTCTTTTCTACTTTCAAGACTTGCTGTGTTCTGTGATAATCACATGGAGATTATTCTCTCACTGTTGATGAGACCATTCCTGGAGATTTGTGAGCAAGAAATGAGATGTGGATGCCTGAAGAGAATTTGAGAAACTCCCCAAAGAATTTATAAAGAAACAAAACCTAAAGGAAAATCTTTTTTCTTACCTGAGGTTACTTAAAATGTTCAAGAAGGAGTTGTAACTTTGGTTACAAATATTGGTAGGGACGGACATATTTTAAAATGACCAGCTTTGAACTATGCCTTTATATATCGAAAGAAAATATCTCATCATGATTGATTAGAAAGATTTCCAAAAGTTGTAATGGTAAAACATGAGCTGTCACGTTAGGAGAGAGGGTCCAGGTTGTTTTTACCTGATTTCAATGACTAGAAAAAAAATAGATCTATAACTGAAGAGAAATTCAAACATTTGAAATAGGCTAGACTTTGTAGAAAAGGCAGCCTGCATTTGAAACCATAGGTGGCCCTTGTCATGCAGATGTCACATCATCAGATACTTAAGAGTGAGAGAATTTAAAAAACAAGAATGATAGAAGTCTTGCTTTTTATTACTTTACATGTATGTCCCCAGTGTGATTTTCTAGCCTAATTAACTCTTAAAACTCTGGAATTCTGGATTTTAATTACATATATACATACACACAATAGACAGTAATATAAATCTATGTAAGATCATATGGCAGATAATTTATCACTGTTATTTGTTATTAATAGGGATAATTGATAATTGTCATGTTCAGGAAAACTCTGTGAAGAGATGTAAGAAATAATTTTTCATGCTTTGGGAGGATGTTACAACATTCAGTACTTGGTTTATAGATTCGAATGCTCAGCCATTGAGAGCTCACAATAGAGGAGTTCAGTAGTTTTCCCTATTCTTAGATTCATCATTTTCTTCCAGATTGTTGACACATTAGGTTGTGAGCATATACCAGTATCCCAGGCAGCCTCATTTGCAATTATTTATAATAAGTTCAATTTCTTATCTCACACACAAAAACTTCAAATCGTAAAGTAGAAAATAATTCTCATTACACAGAACCCTTATGTTTGATGTGCTGTAGGAAAACCTTCCTTTTTCAATGTAAAACAGCTCCACGTGGAGTCTTAAAAATTAAACGGTTAATATGGAACAGGTAATGTTTAATTAAATTTGGCCCTTTGAGATAAAACATTATGAATGAGTTTTCCTGAAGAGTTAACATTTTATTTTTAAGGTAAGCATGGCTTGAAAGAGTCATTTCGGAACGTTAGCTGGAAGGATCCTTAAAGACCAGTTAATCTAACACCCTTATTTCGTAGATGAGGTCACTAAACACATAATATGTTGCTCAAAATGAGTCAGTGGGAAAGCTGATACAGCATTGCGCTGCTCCCTGAAGAAGCGCAAACTATGTCTTCAGCATAGTTTTCTGTCTTTTTTGGGGGGGTGGTTATTTATTTATTTATTTTAGAAGGAGACAGAAAGAGAGCCCATGAGTAGGCAGGGGAGGTGGAAGGGGCAGGGGAGAGGGAGAGATAATCTCAAGCAGACTCCGTGCTGAGCGGGGAGCCTGCCATGGGGCTCGATCCCACAGCCCTGAGACCAAGGCCTGAGTCGAAATCAAGAGTCAGTCCCTCAGGGGGTGTGCCACCCAGGCACCCTGTCCTTTTCTCTTTCATTACATTTTTTCAAATGGCTAACTCAAAACTTCGAGTAGTTAGGAATTAGATCACTTTTATATTTATTCTATATTGTTAAAATAATTACTGTACAAAGTGAACTCTGTACATGTGTTTGGTCTCATCATATAGAAAGTTTACTTAAAATATTGGTTAAAAAGTGTTTTCCCACAATTGCCCTCTTTTTGATTTGCTCATTAATACAAGTTAAGTTTTGCTGCAGAGTCTTATGTGATTTTCTTGGGGATCCAGGAATCTTAGAAATTCTTTATCCCAATGCATCTCAGTGGTCCGTAGGTGCTCGAAGGCATCACACCTGCAGCTGAATGTTAAAAATACTGGAAATAAGAGGGGGAATCGGAGGGGGAGACGAACCATGAGAGACTATGGACTCTGAGAAACAAACTGAGGGTTCTAGAGGGGAGGGGGGTGGGGGGATGGGTTAGCCTGGTGATGGGTATTAAAGAGGGCATGTACTGCACGGAGCACTGGGTGTTATACGCAAACAATGAGTCATGGAACACTACGTCAGAAACTAATGATGTAATGTATGGTGATTACTATAACATAATAAAATAAAATTAAAAAAACAAGTAAGGAAAACAAAAATATTAGAAATAAGAAACTTTTGGAAGTTACATCTGAAGCCTAGGTAATGGTTACTGCTAGGTATCATTTTGAAGTTGGATGTTTATTTTCTAGACTTCGTGCCACGTTGGTACCAGGTGCCATCTAGAACAGTGTTACTAAAAGTGTACCTTCGACCAGCAGCTCTCCTAGAGCTTGTTAGAAATGCAGATTCTCAGGCCATGTCCCT